TTTACCGTTTAGGATAATATGTGTATTGGGTTTTAGAATATTGTCACGATCGCTTTAAGAGGTTTCCTTCAATTTTTGTTTTACTTAGAGTTTACATTGTAGTAAGAATGCCCAAGGTTTGTCAAATATCTTTTCAGCATTTAATTGTGAGATCATATTGTTTGCTTCTTTTAATGTATTAATCTAATGAATTATTGACAGATTTCTTGATAAGGAAATATCTGAAATAAGTCCTATTTATTCTATTCCTTGTGCATTTTTTTGACGCACTACTGGTGTAACGAAGATATATGCTACTATTTAGATACGTGCTAATATTTTTAAAGAAATTTTTCATCTATAGTCCCAAATAAGACTGGGGTATAATTCTCTTTTCTACTTATTTCTTTTTGGGTACTATCTTAACACATTTAGAGTTTCATTTATGCAAAATCAATCATATGAATTAGGGAAATTTATGTTTAATGGTCAGGAAGGGCACAAGTAAATTTGGAATTATATGTTCTTTAAGAGTAATATGCAATTCAGTTATGAAATCATTATACCCTTATCCTTTTTAGGGCATAGAGACATTTATTATCCAATCTCTTCTTTGTTAATTAATTATTTAAGTTTTCCTCTTCTTGAACAAGTTCTGGCAACTTTTACTTTGCTAGAATATAATTCATTTCCTCTAGGTTTTCAAATTCATTGAGACGGTATTACATGTAGCATTCTTTTCCAATTTTTCTAGTCTTTTCTGTGTGTCTGGTTGTGCATCCCTTCTCATTTCTTATGTATTTCTGCTCTCTCTTTCCCATAATAAGTCTTATAGGCAATTCATCTATTTTGTAATTATTTTCAAGGACTTGCTATAAGAAAACATTTTTTTATCCTTCTTATTTCTATTCATTTAATGTTTTAGCTTTTATATTTTATTATTTTCTTTTTAGTACGTTCTTTTATTTTATTTTGTATTTTTTACTGTGTTCTTTAATAATGAAGGCATTTATAGTTATAAATTTTTATCTGGATATAGCTTTTGCTGCATTCTCTATGTCTTAGTATGATATTTTCTAGTTTCTGACTATAATTTTCCAGAAAGTTTTCATTTCTTTAGACCAAGCATTATCAAAAAATGTTTTAATTCAGGGCTGGCCCCGTGGCCGAGTGGTTAAGTTCGTGAGCTCTGCTGCAGGCGGCCCAGTGTTTCACTGGTTCGAATCCTGGGTGTGGACATGGTACTGCTCATCAAACCACACTGAGGCAGCGTCCCACATGCCACAATTAGAAGGACCCACAATGAAGAGTATACAACTATGTACCTGGGGGCTTTGGGGAGAAAAAGGAAAAAATCTAAAAAAAGAAAATGTTTTAATTAATTTTCAAGTGATTAAGATTTATTAGTCACATTTCAAATTTTTATTTCTAATTTTATTGGCTCAATATCAAAAGAAATGCCCTGGAAAGTCTCTACTTGAAGACTTTTGCTAAGGTATTATTTGAGGCCAAAAAAATTTTAAATGTTTCATAGACATTAAAAAGAGCATTTTTCATTTAATGAACATGAGATTTTTTATACATCTATTAATCAAGTTTTTATTGCATTATTCAGTTTCTCTATGTCTTTGTTTTTTTTCTGCTTATAAACCACATTGCTTTGAAAGACTTGTCTTCTATTCCAAGCTTTAATTAACCTAGCAAAAATAGTTCCATTGTCTACTTAGAATTCTGCAGATGACCCTCAAAATTAATTTATTTTTTTTTCCTTTCAAATACTCTTGACTTTTAGCCCAGGGGGTGAGGACGGGGGTAGGGGGGAGGCAGGAGGTGCAGACAGCAACAAAGGCAAAACACTACAGAATAGCGTCATTATCAGTGGTCTGCATGAGATTATCTTATTCTGGTTTCTTCACTCAGGAACAATTAGCTTTTTCCTTCAGTTTACGTAAAAAAAAAAAAAAACCCTCCTTCAAGGTTCCTTACTGCCCTCTTATGATCAATGGTATAATACAGAGAGAATTCATATGTAGATACATACATGTCAAGCCATATTGTGTATTCTTTAACATGGACCATTCCTTTTTCAAAGAACTATGTCCCTTTCCTTGGATTATAACATCAAAACTATGTTAAAACAATTTAGTAATGATTTTCTCATTTAGTAATTATTTTTTCTTACTAGAAATAGAAATCCAACCATGTTAAGTAAGATCAAATTTTAAAAATGATTATTTTATGAATAATAATAATCACAAAATAAAACTAACAATATCAGGTACATTCACATCAAGCCAAAAATTAGAAGTTTCTTGAAGGTATTAAAAAGCACTTATGGAACTAGAAGTCTCTTCCTCTGAGTACTGTGAGTGATCTGCTAAGATAGATCATTAAGATTACTGCTTGATGATCCCATGTTTTTCATGAAGACTTGTCTGGAACTCTTGTTGGTTCCAACTTTTAGTGACCTACAAGGTCACTAAAATTTGGGTACCAGTAAGTTATGTGAGATTCCAAGACAGCTTCTATTTAATGTAAAGTAAAGAATTTAAAGTGATCATAATGAGGTATGACAACCGTATTTGACTAATCTACAAAGAAGAATATGTCACTTCAATAGTAATGGGACAAGCCACCCAATTAATTAGCAGTAAATTGCACAGATTGCTTTGGAAGTGTTCCAGGAGAGAAAGTGCTCTGGTGCTTTGCTTCAAAGGTAAAGCAGACCAAACTGCCTTCATCTCTGTGGGTACAGAAAAATCTGATTTTTCATTCTTAAATTTTATGTGCCAGAGTCTAATCCACAACAGAGACAGCATTGCAGGGCAGAGAAACTAAAATGTTTGTGTTAAAATTACGAATCTGGTAACCTGTGATGATCATTGTGATTTTTGAGGGAGCTCTTTGGGTGTCTCCTCTATCTGTGAATAATAATGGAAATATTATATAACCTTACAGTCCTCCTTGTTAGCTTGGAGATGCTGGTGAAGAGCATGGGAATTTTCTGCTTATTATAACCCTGTGCTGGACTCATTCGCAGTTGTGGAGAGAACCTAACTCTCCTCCTTGTTTTTATCTGAAAACACCACAAAGTCCTATTTGGTTTGAAAAATTAAGTAATCTGGTGCCAAATTGAATTTCTATAGTACTTCTTGGTTCTTGCTGAAAGACATTTCAATTCTAGCTCCTTAATCATGTTCTCAAATACGATGTTAATAGAGAAAGCATAACTAAACAATCACCACAACAAAACTGCCCCCAAAGCCTATTATGTTATGTGGCTTATTTACTTGTGTCCTATGCAATAGTGTGTCAAAAGTCCTGAATTTCACTGAGAGGGAAAGATAGATTGGTTTTGTTTTCTAGTCTCTAGAAGAAGGGTTGAGATGTCAGTAGAAAAGTACCTCTCTCCATCACCAGAGAAAGCTAAGCAAGGAAAAATGTTTGTGGGTAGCATATATATTAATCTCCAGAGGAATCATGAGGCCATTATGAGGTGTAACTAATCGTATTGGTGTGACTCATCTCAGTCTGTAATAACATCTCCACAGTGACATCAGGGGTTGTGTGAGATGGATGTTGCATGTGAAGGAAAAAGTACTATTCAGCTGGAATATCTGCAAGCCTGTGCATGACACAGTGACAGTTTACAGTGAATGCAGCTACTGTTTTTTCACAAGAACACGTTTGTCATAGCCTGTCATCACTGTGTTCCCGAAACTGTCTCAAGCAGTCATCTTGGGGCAATTTCAGACTCGCAGGTTGTTATAACAACTTAGTTCTCAAAAATGACCTCTGTCAAAACGCATCGTAGTTGTCTACTCAGGTCCACTTCAGTGCTGAGTCCAGATGCTCAAAAAATCTGGAAAAAAAAGAGTCCTAAAGTATTTCAGTGGCGATGTTAATTCAGATCCTTCACAAATTTTGGTCTCTAGAACAGGTTCTTCCAACATTTTCTCTACAGAAGAAAAGGTGTACTATGATCTCTTGGTGCATATAAAATTTATAATACCCATGCGTTCTGATTTGTCAGTCAGCTATCCACCGAAAGATAATTGGCAGAGTGGAAAGAGCAAGCAGACGAGACTAGACAGAAGGCCTCGGGCCAACCCTGGCATGGGCCCCAGCGCTATGATTGCCGGGAACAGAAGGCCTCGGGGCTTCCAACGAGGTGGCGCCACTCCGCGACGTCCCTTTCTACTTTAAAATTGTACGACTTTTTTAAAAAGCATCTATTCAAAAGCTTTGTTGCATGCTTTTTTTCTGCGAAATTGGAAATTCTTTAAGAGGCAAGAAATGTGTGTATAATTTTTTTGAAACTTATTTTTGTTTTAAATTTTAAAATAATTTAAAAAGTATTTTTGTTTTTGAAGATTACCACCTGAGCTAACATCTGTTGCCAATCTTCCTTTTTTTTTCTTCTTCCCAAAGTCCCCCAGTACATAGTTGTATATTCTACTTGTAGGTCCTTCTGGTTGTGCTAAAACGTATTTTTAAGTTAAACAATTAAATGTTTTAAATTTTAAAAGTTCCTTTTAAATTTTTAAACTTTTAAAAGTAAAATAACAGAATAGACCAATAAAATGCTTAGTTCAGAAAAACATGAGTTAGATTACATACCACGTACCTGGTATGCAATATTTACTGACACTGAGAACCAGAATTTACTCAGAATTTCCTGGTAGCAAAAGGGGAAATAATTGGCTGTATTTCCATTTCTAATTTTATTTCAAAGGAAACACATACATTTTTCTAGAGAAATAAGCATTTCCTGGAAATAAATACTCCTAGACTGATATATACCCTGATGTTAATTGCAACACTTTCAAAAGGACACTGACATGTACTAGAAAAATAAAATTCGGTAAGACAAAGCCATCCTTTGTAAGCAATTTGTACGTCAATCAGTCAGAACAATATTATGGAGAGCATTTACACGTTGGCCTGTGCTGTGCTTTCTTTTCTCAGCAGTAAAGACTATTGCTATATTTGTAATCAATGTCTCTAATTTTATTTTTCAGAATGACAAATCCCCAGGGCGATCTGCGAGTCGATCAAGTAATATTTCAAAAGTAGGTGAACTGTATTCATTTTCTTAATTGTTTATTGTGTTCTACATTTTATGAGTTCAAGTAAATATTTTATAATGTTTAACCTGTAATTATTATTTATGAACAATACACAAATAGGACTTGTTAATGGTTTTAACAATTTTAAACTTTTACTGTGATAAAAAGCCATGATTTTACACAGCAAAAATGAGATTTTTTTTCCTCTTGAATGCTGTATGCAAAAGATAATTTGCTCCTTTCAAAGTGTCATGCAAAGTGTGTTTTTTCTCTCATTGCAAGCATCATAGCACTGCCACATACACAAATTGAAAGTATATCAACATTCATGGTACAATTTCCATGAATTCAATTTTTTCAGGTGTTTGGGCTGAACTATGCTAGAATTTAACCAGGACAGGTTTTAGAAATCAACTTAATTTAAGACATCAATTTGGACATATTTACTTTATAGAGTCAATGGATAAAGAAAACAAAATACTCCCCAGACTGTCTGTAAATCCAGCAAGACACCAGAGTGTTGAAAAGATTATAACATGGGAGAGATACTCTAGATTTTTATTTTGCCTAGAAAACAGAAATTGAGAGCCATTACCTAAAATGACACACTATGCAATGTATAGACTTGGTGCTTGGGGAGAGAAAAGTCATTTAGAACCATTTGTCAAATTGGAAAATTATGACTTCCAAAAATATAATTCAGACAAAGATGGATGTACCATGAATAAAACTTCTGTTACAGGGCTCCTCGATGCCAGCACCCTTCCACAGCCCAGAACTTAATTTTGTATTTGTCATTTTACATTATTTTCCTTCAAGAGGGCGCCCCCCCCAAATAGTAATAAACTATAGGCATTACAGAACATAGATCCACTTCCAGTTTAGAGAAGTTTTTGTTTTGTTTTCAGAAACAAAAGACCTTATTACTCATTGAAAAATATCAGCAGCTAGAGTATCAGCATTTTCTTAAGCTGATTTCCTGAGGCCATCTCTTATGAGACAAAGCCAAGACCATCAGGTGACACCTGCAAACACACTGCGTTGGTTACAGGAGTGGAACCGTACTCTTAGGAAACCCTAATATTTTTGATAGACAGTAAGCACACCTGTCCTTTGCTCCATAGGGAGACAATATCATCTATGCTGTGCACTATACACACATCCTTAAAACGATAGTGCAGAGCAAAAGCAGTCAACGTTTCTGCTTACCAGACATGCAGAGATGCAAGAGACCCATAGAGAATTGTATCTCAGTACTTAGTACTGAACATTTCTAATTACGTTCAAATCTGGGTACCTTCATAGGTATGTGGCTTAGCGGTTAAGGACACTAACTTTGCAGGAGAGGATCTGAGTGTAGGTTGCTGCTCTGTCACTTCTCACTTATTTGGCCATGAGACATTCACTTAACCTCCCTGAGACACAGTTGTCTCCTCTGTGACACGGTGGTGATGATATCAGTCACTTGAAGGTTTTCTGAAGTAGTTGCAAATTAAAGCAATACCTTTCAAATGTCTGTCATCTTAGTCACACCATGAAGAGCCTTGCCTGCACCTGCAGAACATTGTCATCATTCTGAAGGTGGATGTTAATGTTGACCTAGAGACTTGTAAACGGTTCTCACAACTCTTTTGTCACACCAAATATTGTTTCATGATCTGGGGGTGAAATCTTATCTGCATTTCCAAGCGGCTGTTTGAGTTTGACATAATGCAGCCTGTTTATAACTTTTAGCCTTTTAATTTATTCTTTAAGAAATAAAAACGTCAGGAGTGTAGTTTCCCTTCTGTGAGTTCTTTCAGGCTCTGATAGTATTAATTGCATCCCTGTGTGGGAGATAATTAATGATAAAATTCATTATGTTCAGAGAAAAATGAGAAGCTCTCTTCTTAAACAGTCACTCTAATTTTAAAATAGCAAAAACTCAACAATCACCCACCCGTAGAGATAAAAAGATTTTATTTTAGTTAAGCCAATATAACTTTCCTTTTATTTATGTTCAGAATGACAGTCACAAATGCTAAATACATGGTTGAGGCCTCACTGCTTTGTCATTAATTACAAAGTGATAAACTCTTCATTAAGACCATGTAACTTACCAAGTACGAAATGGGAAGATCTGGCAATGTTTGAGTCCTTTACCTTTTAGAGTGGTGAAGAAAACATTACAGTGGAACAAGGATATTTTTTCTCTACTTTTGTCAAAATAATTTTTATGTCAAAAAAAAGACTGTGAGCTTTTCAAGGGTGTGATCATCAGTATAACAGAGTAGTTAAGAGCATGCATTCCACAGTAACTGCTTAGGAGGGTTGTTTAACTTTCTTAGTGACTCTGTGTGTGAAAGGAGACTAGCTAACACTTATCTACCTCTCTGAGTGGTGCTTAGAACAGCGCCTGGCATTCACTATTCTTATTAAGGGGCTCTTAATTTATATCTCAGTGACAGCAGCAAATAAGTGCTCAGTAAATCTTTGCCAGCAAGTGAATCTGAGACATGGCTTATAATATATGCATTGTTTCCAGAGTGGAATAAGAATAGATAACAGACTGGACAGGATTAAGTGAAATGTTAGTGATCTGACGCAATTTTACTGAAAACAAAAATACTGCATATTCCCGTTTCCTTAAAAAGTGTATGTATATTTAACAATAATAAGTTAAGTCAATAGCAGTATTACTCATAACGGGCGTCTTCCTTAATTTTTATCAAGTTGGTACCATCCCCAATCTTTTGATACAGGAAAATCACAGCTACTACAGAGGACTCTATCCAGAATGAGACAGCAGAACTTAGAGTGAAGGAGTTGAGATACAACATATACATATAATATATACGTAAATTAAGTAGAATTGTATAACTCTCTGTGCACAAAAGATAACAAGACAAGCCTGAGACTCTTATCCTTAGAAAGTCCTACTGGCAAGGTTGGCCCTTGGCTGGCATCTGAGAACTTGGGTTCAGGAGTGGAGTCCCACCCTAACTGATAGGAATGGTTCATTGTGCCTAAACTGTGCAAACAATATGGTTTATCATAAATACCTGCTTTCCTTGTGGGAGTCTGGAATTTTGGTAACATCCTAGACAGCGGGTACCTGTATGACCAACTCCAATAAAAACTTTGGGCATTGAGTCTCTAATGAGTTTCCCTGCTAGACAGCACTTCACATCTGTTGACATGACTCATTGCTGCAGGAATTAAGCATATCCTATACTCACTGGGAGTAAACTTTTGCAAGTTTGGAAGTTTGCTTCTGGTTTCCTCTGGACTTCACCCCATGTGTCTTTTCCCCTTGCTGATTTTGCTTTGTTTCCTTTCACTGTAATAAATCGTAGCTATGAGTATGACCATAAGCTCAGTCCTGTGAGCTGTCCTAGAAAATCACTGAACCTGGGCATGGTCGTGGGAACCCTTGGTGTACTAGTCAAAAAGTATAGACAGAGAGTGATGCCTTCTATTTGGTGAGCATAGGATAGCATCAGAGAAGGCTTCTTGGAAGAATGGTATACAAACAGGGACTTGAAGAGTGGGTGTAACATAATCAACTGCCAGGAAAATATGTTTAAAGGGATATCAGTACAAGGCATGGAAGCTAGGAAACATGGATTATAAGGAAAAAGGTATATAAAATAGTTTTTAGGGGACTTTGAGATGGAATTTTGAATAATAAGATACATTCTCTTTAGTCCAGTAGACAAGTGTTATTTGGCTTGGAAACATACAGATGGATTTAGAACCCACCAAGATCCTTGAGAGGTTTTTAGCAAATATGTATGAAACTGAATGCTATTATTTTTGCTCTTCAGGATTGTAGAAACATGATCTTGCTGTTGTGGATATGACATACCCAAATGTGGCATAAATAACAAGTGTTGAATTGTTAATGAACATAAATTTTCTCCTAGATCTGTACCTCTGAATCTTTTTACTCTATTTGTTCAATTGCAATTATACTTTGAGTTTTCTGGTCTTCCCAACTTTTAATTTTTTATTAGTTTATGTTTCTAGTTTGTTTGAGGACATATAAGCCAGTTAGACCTATGGTTCTCTTTTGTTTTCTTATTCTAATAAAATTTGTGTGCCTTGGATGTTAAAGTTGATCTAAAAGCTATGGAGAAGCTATATAGGTTTAAAGTAATGTATGTGAGATGGTCAAAATATCTTCAGTGTGAACACAGCAGCATTCATTTATCCATCACTTTTTTATTTTTTGAAAAAGTGCTTTTGATATTAGTGCTTGTTGCTGCTTTTTGTATGGCTCACAAATAGGTTCCTCAAGATGCAAAATTAGCTAAATTTGGCCTTACTTTTATTTCTTCTGGGGTGAGGGATCATTATATTCAAGTAGCAACAGTATATTGTGTATTTCACAAGAAAAATCTTTCAAAAGCAAACTGTCAAAAGGAAAGAAAGCCTTGTACTCTCAATTCAAATCAACATCTAGAATTTTCTTTTAAACAAAGCACTTTATGCTTTTTGGTCTATGTAGGAAGCAGCTCACAAAACCTAATCTACTTATGAAAAGAAATTCAAAAGCCACTGTGTTAACAAAATGATATTTCAGTTAGTTTCCATCATTTCCTATTACATTCCAGGGACTTTATTTGCTTGACAAAGCTTCATCTAAATTGTTCAGTTGCTGTCTACCTTAAAATATATATAACGTTAAGGCAAAGATGGTATATAGTATATAAAATATTAGTCCTAAAGCTTTCTCTTGTCTGTGTACCCTAGTTTATTCTGCAATAAATGAAGATGGCTGGTATAGCCAATACAGTTTATTCAACAAACATTTTTTAAGAATGTACTATGTATAAGGTATTCTATGAATTACAGCATTTTAGGTAAGTGTTTTCTTTTGATCAAACACATACCTTGAATTTAACTTTCGTAAATCTTCATCTCTCCATATTTTGCCAGATTTGCCTTTAAATTGCAACTTATTTTCTAGCAAGGTCAAGGTGAAAGTGTTCCCAAATGTAAATCTACTGGGAACTCTTTCA